CCCATCAGGATGTAATAACGACTTGAAACATAATGAACTACATTTGTCCTCATGTGGTTTCAAGCCAGTTTTATTTAAACAAAGTACAATCCTTTCCCTAGCTTTTTTATTAAAAAAAAAGAAAACCTACAGAAAAAAACTATATGATCAGCACTTGCCTACTAGACTCATTAGACTCACTAATTTCTAACATTTACATATACATGTATAGGCATATAATTATTGTTCTTATTTTTGTAGGCCCATTTGAAAGTAAGTTGTAGACATCAATAATTCAATCATGTGAATCATCTCTAAACATTTCAGTGTGTTACCTAAGAGCAAGAACAGTGTCCTGCATAACACCATTATCATACCCAAGAAACAACCTCTACACTACATTATTTTGTCCTTAATCCACATTCAAATTTTATCAATTGTCTCAGTAATATTGGATATAGTGGTTTCTCGCCAATCCATGACAGCTGTTGTATGTCTCTGAGCACCCTCTCCTTTTTGCATTTATTTCATGACATTGATGTCTGTAAAGAGCCCAGGCCAGTTGTTTCATACAATGTCCCACAATCTGGATTTGTTGCATTATTTCCTCATCATTTGATTCAGATTGACATTGTGGCAGGAATACTTACACAGGGAAATCGAAACACATCTGAAAGCTCTCAACAAGCTGGTAAGGAGGCCTTCTGCTCTGTGCACCAACTGCATTTGCCTAGCACCTGGAGTTTACATAGTGCTTTCCCATGTATCCTGACATTTAATCTCCAGAATGACCCTGAGCCGAAGACAGGACAATTATACTTCTCTCCTCTTTTATAGTTGTAAAAGCTGAGGCTCAGAGAAGATAAATGAAACATTCAGAGTCACTCAGTCAGACCTCAAACCCACAGCACAACTCTCTGTATATCCAGCTGGTGCATAATAAGTGCTTTCCTAGTGCCTGTATCAATCTGTATGTGGCTGAGTGTTCACCATAGGCTGTCATGGTAGGCCTACCGATGGAAAATAACAACTTCTTAATGACATTGTTTGTATCTTCTCAATGTTGCCATAAGAATGAAAATGAAATAAAAGCTTCTTTCACATCCATAATCAGAAGATAAACTCAGGAGTTAATAGAAACTCCACAAGAGCCTCATGGCTAGAAGAGGTAGGATTGGAGCCTTCTCTGTGCTACATGCAAACATAGCTGATAAGCCTGTCTGGGTATCCATAACTCAAATGATCTAACATTGGGAGGAAGGAAAGCTCTTCTTTATGGTAAAATGCCAATTAATAAATATAGAAGGAATGCCAGAGTTAGAAAATCATCAGTTTGTAACCATGACTATAATCATTGATTTAAGCAAGAATTACCAATGGTTATGAAAACCATTAAGTAAAAGTTAATGAGGGGCAGAATAATTACACATCCCTGATTATACTACTCCCAGGTTTCTTGTTAATAATAAAGACAAAAAGTGTTTTCTTTTTAGTACAGAAACCTGGCAAATACCTTGCCCAAATGATCAAAGTTAATATTACCAACAATGAAACAAACTGACATCATGTGCCTTTGACTTGATGCACTGAGAAGGACACAATACCATTCTGTGCAACTGTTGCCAAATATACAAAACCAGAATGTAATCAACATGAAACGCAACAACTCAAGTCCAGGAATGTTCTACAAAAAAATTGCCTCATACTCTTCAAAACTGCTCATGCACAAAGACAAAGAAAGGTTGAAAACTATTCCAGCCTAAAGGAGGTTAAAGAGATGTGAAAATTAAATGTAATGTATGATCCTACTCAGGGAAAAAATATCGTCTCCCCCAATGGCTCCCCTCTGCCCCCCAAACCACACAGCTAACAAGGAAATTATGGGGACAATTGGAGAAATTTGAATATAAACTGTACAGCATTTAACAGCTCTTTATCAATGTTAATTTTCCTGAATCATACTGACATAATGGAAGAAAATGGCTTGGTCCTTAAAAGATACACCTAAAAGTAATTAGGAGCAAACGGTCATGACATCTGCACTTACGCAAATAGTTCCATAACAGTAATAGAAGGTATATTTATTACATTGTGAGAGAAAGATAAAAACTGCAGCAAACTGTTAACAACTGGGTCCAGGAGAAAGGCACATAGACATTAATTTGACTATACATGAAACTTTTCTGAATGTTTGAAATTTTTCAAAATAAAATTTAAAAAACAAACTCAACACATACTAAGATACATGAAATTTCCTCTCTGAAAGAAGAAGTTTCCTTTGGATCTTCTTGTCCAAACATGCAACTTTGCATCATACCTCCTGTACTGCCTCTAACATTTGAACTTACTGATTAATCTTAAAATTTCTAATGTGTACTTGTTAGATTTCTAAAAACTTAAGAATTACAATCAGACAGGCATAATGAAAGACTAACTGAGCTCCTACTCTGTGGGTTCTGGGAATATGGGGAAAACAAACCAGATGAAATCCCTGCCCTCATGGGTCTCTGTAACACAGAAACAGAGCAATGTTCCTTCGAGGAACTGCGATTCTTTACACATTTTTCTGAAAGTCTAAACTTATTTCAATTGTGTCTTCTGGTTGTCATGATGGTAGTGACATTTAAAACAAATTTTCTCCATTACTATGTAATGAAATACTGTATATGTGAATATTTAATTGCATTTTGATAAAGTGATAACATCCATAAAATATGTATATTACATGCTATTTGTGAAATGTGTGAAGAAAATATATAGTAGCTTCTTTTATATTATGCCCATTGAAAATGCCTCTCAGCAAGGAGAAAAGGGGATTTTCATAGAGTGTGCAGAGAAACCTGATGGTTGAGCAAGATATGGTGTAAGAAAAATGCAGGGAGGGTGGCTGTGACCTCAATATGGCAATTTGGATTTAATGAGAATACATTTTTAAGGGGAATTAACTAATAGAACGTTAACAGACAAAATCGTTATAGTCTTAGTGAAAATCAGTAAAACTGAAATGAATGCTGTGGTTGAGGTCACTGGCGAAGAGTGATCTGAAAGATGTGTGGGGAAACTAGAGGATGGGGAACTAGGATTCTCTGGACACTTGTGAGTAAGACAATTATAGCTAAAGTGATGATTTAGGATGAGTCTGACTAATATTTATTGAGTTCTTATGATGTGAAGTAGAGATTATTTAAGTTAATAAACTCTTCATTAAGGAGATGCGGGAACAGAGGGGCCACAAAATAACTTGCTGCTCTGAGTTGCTGCCTGAATCCTGCCTGGGGATGGACAGGGAGAACTCGTGTCAGGGAGTCCTCAAAGAAACCACTCTGGATTATAAGTGCCTTGATTTAAAATAGAAATGAACACTGTTCAGAACACTATTTCAATATCAAATTGTGCTTTATTCTCTGTGGCATTTGATTGATGCATAGCTCTATTTTTGTTTATAGAATTGTAAATATTCTGTCCTCCACTTGTGTTATTTCAAGTAAGTAAAAATCTTTAAATACACGTAGTCTTGAGGGTCTGGTGCATACAAATTGGGCTGTTCTAAATCATCTGACTCCCACTCTCCTACCCTAAGATCAAGACAGCTGTGAGTCTTCGTGAAATGTTCACATTCTTAGCTTGATTTTTAAGGTTTCAGATAATAATGGGATACTGAGGATGCTGGACTAGTAATGGCAATGGTTTGGGAGGTACATAGAGTGATGGACGGAAGCAATTCTCCCTTATTCTGAATCTTTAACAGAAGCACAGGCAAGAGTGAAAACAAGTCCCGTAGTTCTCCAGTCCTGACAACTAACTCAGGCTCAGTAACTCCACTGACCCTTGGCCAACCAGCTCTTTGTCAGTAGAGGTTTGACCAGGCTATATCAAGTGGGAAGCCACTTTAAAGTGCTAACCCAACCAGGTGATAACTATAATCACTTAATTCAACAGAATGTATTTGCTTTCACCTTCCTTCATCTGAGCATATGGGCTATATTTAAATAAACTTTTAGCTCCTAAAATCATGCCTTACAATTTTCTTTATATCCCTTCCAAGACCAACAATAATACTTTGTACATAAGTCATCAAAAATGTTTAATTGAAGTTATGGCAAAGAAATGTAGTCAGCTTATCTTGAAAAATACAATTGCAAACTTAAACTTATCTCAGTATTCCTGTTATACTAACTAATCAACAGTCTGTTAACATTCCATTTGAGTTAAATACAGCCTTTAAAAATAACATCATGTGACTGCATGTGAAATCCAAAGCTCTCATAAACTGACAATAGTAAAATACTATTGTGGCAAAATAGACTTAGAAAAATATATGACTATAAGTGAGCTTCAGTTAATGGACTACCATAGTGAAAATATTACTATGTTTCACGTAAAGAATATAGTTTTGGCTAATTCTGCTATTAGCACCTGGCTCAGTACTTTCTCATTCTCGCCTCTAGTCCCCTTCCAACTGGAGGAGCTTGCTTTGCTCCTCCGTCCTTTAATCAACAGGGTCTTCACCTCTTCCCCCTATGTCAATTCTCCCAAACATGCAACTTTTAAAAATAAAATCAGTTTATATTAGAATACATATAAATATAGCTAGTTGCAAGAAAAATGCTTTTGCTGTAGAAAATGATGCCTGTGTAAACTGAACTTGATAAAGACATTGTACAGAAATTGTATCATTAATAGATTCTGATATAACATGTTCATCAAAGAATTTCTGTTACAGTCTGCTGGTATAGAGAAATAGATTCATCATAAAGTATTAGAAACTTTATTTCTAAAATTACATTCTACCTGTAGTTCAATAGCAATATTCTTGAAAGTAATCAATTCCCATTCAAATGGAAATTGTAGTCCTTTCATAAATGAAAGGTTTACTGTAAATGAAGTTCAAATAACACCTACAGGATTATTATTTGAGGAATTTCTTACTCAAAGCCACTTTTCTTCCATTAGCACCTCAGTCGATAACAATAAACACTGCTTAAAGTCAGATGATAACTGCACTCATTTTATATACATACCAACAGTGTGGATAGGTTTCCTATAGGGTATTAGGCCAAAATTGTACTGAAAAACTCCTCTGGCATGAAACAGTGGCAAAGCAAACCCCATGATCTTCTGCAGTTTCTCTTGAACAGCTCGAAGCCATGAACCTTCAGGATTGTTAATCTGTTTAAACAGTTCATTTTCACCAAAAGAAAACACTGGGACCAAGTAGGCACTGCAAATAACAAAGGGGAGGAATAACATTTCAAATGAAAAGTATTTAAATAACTTATTCTGTCCAGCTGACTTCTGCAACAGACTCCTAAAAATTCTTAAATATGCCCACTCCTGCCTCTATTGCTAACATCACGTTCCATACATTGAAACTGCCTTATACTTGAAATCCTTTGGGGGAAGTTCTTCAGCAGCCTACACATTGATGGAATCTTGTTCTACAGAAAATCAAGGTTCCAGGAAGCTTCTTTTTCACCCGCAGCTTTGGCCATTGTTTGTTCGTTCATTTGGCTGGAAATTTACTCTGTGTATATGAAATTTTGGATTTTGTTGTTTTAGTTATTGTTTTGCTTTTAAGGTTAAGTTTAACTGAGGGATGTCATGGCATTGAGCTACCGTAGCTGAAAGGTCACATTTCATTCTTCAAGAACGCCCATACCTGCTTGCATTGTAAGATCAATTTGGAGGCTTGCAGGGGTAGGAGAATTATTTGACTTCTTCATGTTCATTTAATAATGTCTTAACTTTCATGACTCAGTTGCTTAAACAAAAAGCCACTTACCCGTGGGTCAAAGCAATTTTAACAAATCCCTTCCGCTGGCGGATGAACAGAGTGAATTTTCCAGGATGAGCATCCAGAGATTCTTCTGCGCCCCCAAGGACAATGACTGAAATGTTTCCACCTCCCTCCTTGCTCAGCACATAGGACACACTTTTCTTGGAAACTGAAACTGGCCCTTAGTGAATAAAACAAAAAATATAATCAATTATCCTTTTTTAAAAATTAAAAACTTGATTATAATACTGTACGGAAACAATGAACATTTAACAAAATTTCCTACACTGCTCACCTTTGGAGCACTTTGCAGGTATGCAATTTTTTTGTAGCCAAATCTTTGGTAATGTATTCTATTAATAAGATCAACTATTTTGGCAGGTGATGGGTTAGGACTTTAAAATGTCACCCGATCATTATTAGGTCTACTGCTTATTTGGGTAGGTTGGGCACTGCCCAACTCTACTGGGCTCCATTCACATTGCATTCAAAGTAAAAGGTGCCCCCCCTGGAATTGTTCAGTGCATAACCTGCACACCTTGTGGTGGCCTTGATCAATACCTTAGCAGATCCTCGCTCAGAACCAAAAAGAATATCCTCCGAAAGGTTGCGGAGGACCTTCTGAACACATAATGGTCCATCTTCAGATATTCTATATGTATCATCATTTTCCAAACCTGGATTTATAATGTAAATAGTTTAAAAAATTCAGACATTTGACAAATAACCTAGATCACTTGTCAGATCTCTACAAACTTCCAAAATATGTAGTCTTAACTTTGGTAAACTGTCCAGTTAAGAAAGTTACATAATTGTTCAATCTACATATCAGGCTTTTCCATGTAAAAACAACCTTAAAGATTCCTTTTCAGATTTTAAATGTACTATGGACTTTTGGAGGAAAATATGGAAAAGAATAAAGATGAAAATACAAACCATTTGTGACCCACATTTCAGAGGTAATCACTTTTTAATGTCTTCTGTTTCCTTCCATTCTGAGTTTTAGCCATTTTTTTTAGTCAAAACAGAATGTATTAGACGGACTTTATAAAGACATAGCACACCTCATCTCTTGAAGGAAATGATATGCTAATTTTACTGTGGGTTCCTATTACTTGGGAATATGAAATTATGCCAGGATTCTGAATGGCCAACTACTCTCTTAAGAGAACACACAGAGGGGAGAGAACCTGAGCCTGCCCAGACGGGTTTGACCTTTCACTGAGTTCAAGGTGTGCCATTCTGCTCTGCATGACCTGAATGAGGAGTGAAGTCATCTCTTCCACTAGAAAGAGGGCCTCTTGGATTTCCAGACCATTAGCTCTCTCAAGTTGCTTCCGGCCACTTCTCAGTTCCTCCTCAGGCTCCCTGTCTTTAGGCCACCCTTAAATGCTGCTATTTCTTAGGGCTCCTTAAATATCTCGCTGTCTTCTAACCTCAACTACAGCATGGATTCAACTACCACTCATGTGTGCTGAGTTCTCCCAAATCTGTCTCCCGGAAGATCTTCTCTACAGCTTCGAGGCCCACATCTCCAAGGCCCAATGGACATCTCTACTTCAATAGTTTAAAGAAACCTCAAACCTTATGTCCCCAAACCCAATGCTTTAAATTCTCCCTCAAAGTAGTTCCTCTTCCAACATTGTCTATCAGGGTGAATAGGACCAACCATCATCCGACCCAAGTCAGAAACATAGCTTCTCTAATATGTATTCCCCTCTCTAAGACACCGCATTGACTAGTCACTCATACATTCATTCAAAAGCACTTACTGAGTACCGGCTACAAGGCAGGCAGTGTGCTAGGTGCTGATAATAATGACAAAATACAGTTGCTGTCTTTATGAGGCTAAATCAATCACTAAGTCTTATTGACTCTATCAAAGATTTTTCATACGGGTCTCCTCTTTTGTATTTCCACTGTCACAGTCACTGTGCTAGTTTAGCCCTTATCACCTCTCCCTTGGTCACTGCAACAGGCTCTTTCCATCCTCACAGTCAATGATCTAATATGCAAAATGATCTAAAATGAAAAATCCAATCAAATCCCTTTTTTGCTCAAAATCCCTCCTAAGTTCCCCATGACCTACCTACAAGATAAAATCTAAAATCTAAAATCTGTGTTGTGTATAAGGCTGTTGTGATCTGATCCTTGCTACCTGCCCAGCCTTAATGGGTAGACAGAAAGGAACGCGAGCCTTAAAACACAGAGTCTGCTCTGGTTGACACCTGGAGAATACACCAAAATGGGCCATGAAGAATGGGTTGGAGATGGAATATAAAAGGACTTGTAGCTATAAAAACCTCTTGGGTAAAAGAAAAACAGGCACCTGTCAGCAAAACAGGCACCTGAAACCCTAGTAGTTCCTTACTATATGAGGTCTGGCACACATATCTGTCAGTCTTTCACATCCAGAGGGACAGGCACCAAGGCAGGTGCATAATGGAGGGGCAGCCTTGGATTAGGGACTGTCCTAAGAATCTGGTTCTGAGAGTTATTGAGAACTCTCTAGTGTTAGAGACAAGGACAGCCTAAACCTCCACTGGCTATAAGTTTTGTTATTCTTGTTTAGATTTTAGGACATCGAAGTTTATAAAAAAGGAAGATTTCATGATGTCATAAGCCAGGGATGGCAGATAGATTTAATCTCAAATGGCAGCTCTGATCAATGGTAATGGCTGTGGGGGCACTCTATGGAGAAGGACTCTAAGACTGAGTATTTGTGTCTGACATGGCTACGGAGAGGGGCCTACCCACATCTCTTGTGCCATGAATTTACCACATCTGTTCTTAACTACACTATGCAAACTCACCTGTGGCTACACTTTGAACCGGCAAACAGTGTACTGTAAATATATTTCTATGCTCTTTTGAAATTTTAAAAATTTCCCTTTAATTTATGTCCTTTTGGAAAACTCTAACCCAATGTCCAGAGAACAAGGAAGAGAAGGGATTTTTTTCCCTCTTTGGTAATTTGGGGGGTTGACACCAGATCTTGTTGGTGGTTTGGAGGTTTAGTGCGCCCTCTGGTGGGCCCTCCAGCCCAGGCGGGACTGAATTATGTTTATAGGACCATAAAAAGAAACAAAACCTGAAAACCCAGCCAAGCATCCAGATCCTTCGGTGTTTAGTGATTTCCTACCAGGTATATAATGACAGTAGAGACCTGGGAAATTAATAAGAAGTAATGAAAACTGGGAGATCAGGGAAAATTCTATCCCTGAATATGCCACTTGTTGATCCTGACATAATTTTTCTTTTTTTCTTTTTTTTTTTTTTTTATATATTTTTGGCTTTATTTTTACAAACGTTATAATTTAATACATATTACTTAGCAATCAACCACTGGGATGGGGAGGAGGGAAAAAATGCAATCTGACATCATAATTTTTCAAAGAGACTATCCACTTTTCTTTATATCCAAGAAATACAAAGACAATAATAATTAACCTAATTAATCTATACAATTATAATAAATACAAAGCATTTTGTAAGTTAGTATAGTTAATGGTTAGTCAATAAATTGGTCAAGTTGGAAAACCAAACAAATTGAGCTTCTTAAGTTGCAATAAGAGCTATTAACACAAGCTTTGCCTCCTGAACACATTTATATTGTGACTTTATGGAATTTCAGATTATTTTTATTCTCAGAATTGATAGAATTATGGTTTCACTAATCAAAGAGTTTTCCACTGGTTCAGAGTAGCAGAGTAGGATGGACATTTATTTCTGAACTAAGTTACATTTACTCTTGGAAGAAAAAGACAGCTAGTTGACTATGTTTAGTGATAGCACTGCCATTTCTTCAAAACACAATGGGAGACATTTTTAATTTTGAGTATGCATAAAAGCATATTTATGATTTATCATTTATTTGATCTATAATTATGTCTTCCACATTTGGGTATACAAAATGCATCCATTAATGTATTCTTTTACTGGGTTACTATTTATTGAATATTCCTCTGTTTCAGGCACCATGATAGATACTTGGGATAGGACAGAAAAAAAGACACAGTCTATGTCTTCCTAGCATTTACAGTCTAGTGGGAGAGGCAAAAATCATGCAGACAGCTTATGAAGTGCCAAATAGGGATAAGGACATAGGGTTTTACTCTAAGAGACTGTAAACCCAAATAGGGTAAGGAGAGAACGTTCTGTGCGCCCTCCTACCCCAGAGCAAGGTAAAAATAGTGATCTGCCCTCACTTACCACTACTCATCAGATATTCTCGGAAGAGAGGACACCGGAACCAAAATGGGAGTACGTGGAGATATGCAGTAAATCCGGGAAACAGCTCCTTGAAGTCAGAATGATCGGTACAAAAATTTCCAAAGGCTCCAGCCACGAGTACACCATGAGGATGAAACCCAAATATATAGTTGTGACTTGCATCCAAATCCTGAGTTTTGATGATCTACAACACATTCATATTGAGATTTAAAAAAAAAAAATCCCTTATTAGTTTGTAGTGAGAAACAAAGGACTCCTAGTTAATTCTTATGTTAAGAGGAGATAAACAACAAGACTTGTCTTAGTTCCCTGTTTTGGAGCTGTTTCCAAATTTCTAAACTACCTTCTGAGCCCAGGTCCCTTCCCACACAGCCTTCCAGATTCTGTCAGTTCCGCTTAGGGTTCACTTAGTAACTTGGCTAAATTGCACAGTTTCTTTCTTTGAAAAGGAAAAAGCTTGAGATATGTGTCATGAAAACAAATTTCCACTCTTCTCCCAACTCAAAATAATATTTTATAAAGCAATTCTACTCACATGGATTGGAAAATAGTCCTTAAAGTACCTCCAAACAGTCCAATTTCTGACCCAGTTGGATCTCCTGCCTCCTTGCTCTGGGGTACTCCAGTCAAAGTAAAGCCATGTCAAATAGGGGATGTAAAGGAACCAGTAGTTGTGCAAGATCAGTATCACAATGATTCCAGTGCACACCTGCGCTGTAAGAAAGGGAAAAGCCTCATGGAATCAGGGTCTGTTAGTATCAGCTCACTGCACTGTACAATCATTGGCCCATGTGAGGGGTATGTAATACATACAAGGTATATTAAACTGATCCTTGGTTCGGGTGAGGTATATTAAACTGATCCTTGTAAAATAACAAGACAGTAATGATATAGGGTTATTTAACCTTTGTTGAATGTTCCATATAACCACAATACCAATAAAGTAGCAATAGTACTCTTAACATCTTTTCTATGGAAGAGAAAACTAAGACTTAGAGAGAAGTTAAGGGAGTTGCCCAAGTCATATCGCACATAAGTGGTTGATCTGTCTGAATTTAAAGTCTGCCCCCCTAGCCATGGCCCTACATCACCTCCCTGACATGATATATGCAGGAATCATCACTGACAAAAGGGACGTGGAGGATTTCCTACTACAGGAAATCCTATCTTCCTACCTTGACTGAACAACCATTATTCACGTGCCAATGAAGAGAGCACAGTCCAGCCCCAAACCTCATTTTCAGGAACTCTATTGTCAGAGACAGAAATATCATAGGAGGGACTCTTTAGATCTTACCACACAGCACTTCTTGCAACATTTAATGAGAGAGCAATCCTAATTGTTCAAGCACCTAATAACATGGCTTCAAAACGCATGGGGCAAAAACTGACAAAACTTGACCTGGGTAGTAGAGATAAAATGTTCATCTTTGAGTAACACATTAAGCTAAGTTACACCTTTTTTAATGTCTGTGTTATGTATTGCAGTAAAAAATATTTACAGAAGCGAAATATATCAATAAGAAAAACAGAACATACATAAAGACATAAAGCCTGGCACACAGTCAGTGTTCACTAAATGCCAGCTATTACTCTTATGTAAGGAGAGCCATTGCTGCTTTCTCCTACAATGCACGGCAGTCTCCAATCTAGGGCTCACTTCAGTCCCCAAACTCCTACCTACTCCCTATGAACTTTGTTAAAAAGAGCTCTGTTCTCAAATAATCCATCAATGTATCCAAATAATAGTGCCTTGATCTGTTATTGAGATATATACATATGTATCTGAGATATATATACACACACACATACATATTTTGCCAAAAACAGAACATTTATATTTCTTGACACATGTAAATCCATATATTTTCCAGTATGAATTTAATCAAAATATATCATTGAACCTAGGCAGGGGACTGACTTGCTGCTCTCTCCAAGGATGGTTCAAGGTTAACAGAGTAGGTGAAAGGTTAAGGAGGCATGTGTCCCCCATGCCTCTGTGGGTATCCTGTTGCATTATGGAACTGCCAGGAAGTTCCCATGAGGCCAAAAACAAGGCCAAGAGAGTGCCCTGTGCCCTCATTCCTACCAGGATCATACGATTTTGCTTCACCTGTTCCCTCTGTTCAGATCTGAGTGCTGACAATTTACCACCGCTGGTTACTTTTCTGTTTATTTTAGTAAGATGTGCAAAAATTTTACAAGAACCGTACATAGGTCTCATTGCTCTGCACTCAAAGCTAGATCAGGCGAGCTAAGGGAAAGTAGGGAAGGGGAAGAGCAGTGACTGAGTGGGGGCCATCCCCCTTTACTTTATATAGGCAATCTCATTTTACAGCCCTCAAGGTACACATTGCTGTCCCCATTTCACAGTTGTGGAAACTGAGGCTCAGGGAGTTTATGTGTCCAAATGATTTGAATCTGGATCTGCCTAAACCCTAAACCCATGCACTTTTCTCACAAAAATCATACTACCCACCAGTACACTGGTAACAGTACACTATTATTACAGTGTTACTGTAATAACAGTGCGCACTTAAATGTTGCATTAGTCTGTTTCCATTGCTTATAACGAAATACTTGGAACTGGGTAATTTATAAAGAAAATGAAATTTATTGCTTACAGTTTCTGAGGATGGGAAGTCCAAAGGCCATCTGGTGGTGGCGACAGTGACCCAGGGGTCTCACATTGCAAGATGGTGGAAGCAGAGAGAGCAAGAGAGAGAGAGAGACAGACTCTCCTCTTCTTTTGAAGCCCTCAGTACCATGCCCCCTGACCACCATTTTTAGCCCGTTCACTACTGCACAGTCCTACAATCCAATCACCTCTTTAAGGCTCCACCTTTCAATTACCATAAAAGTTTTTCCCACCCTCTCAACAGTCTCAGTGGGAGCTAAGTTTCTAATACATGAAACTTGGGGGACACAATTCAAGTTTCAATGAGTTTGGGAGGACATAATTCAATCCACTACAAATGTATTTATTACAAGTGCATGAGCAGGTTCTGAAGCATAAAGAATCAGGCACATGGAAGGTTCTGTTTTCCTTACTACAAAGACGGAGAAAGTGTAGACCAAAAGCAAATTGACTTAATTTCAAATACAGAGTTAGCCAAGAGTAGATCCAGAAATAAAGTCTCCCAACATCCAATCCAATGTGGTGCTAACCCAGCCACACATACTTTAATTGAATACACATCACATATCTCTTTAATGTTCATTGCATGTTTTGCATGTATAATAGTTAAGACATGGATCTGGAACTAGACTGCTTATGTGGGAATTTGCCATTGACTAGCTGCCTGACCTGGGGCAAGTTCTTTTACCTCTTCAGCCTCAATTTCTACACCTGTGAAGTAGGCTAATAACAGCATCTGTATCCAAAGGGTGCTGAGGGCATAAATGACATAGGGATACACAGTGCCTGGCACAGAGCTAGTGCTCAACAAATGCGAGCCATTGTTATAATTATTTTGTTTGCTATTATACATTTGGAGAATCCAAAAAGTAGAAGTAGGCAGAATATCAGCCATATTCCTGTCACTCAAAAAAAACTTCTGTTAAATTTTTCCTTTTGACTTTTTTTCCCTATGAACAGGTTATACTTCTTTAACATGGCAGATGACACATTTTCTTTAATTCTATATTTTATCACTTATGATTATCTCTCATGAGCTGTTTGGTATTATAAATCTGGTATTATAACCTCTTCATAATGTTATTTTTAATGACTAACTAACACTCTATTGTTTGTCAGTGCTAAATTAACCATTTAGGCATCTAACAATTTTTCTCTATGAGTGTAATCTTGCATAAAGTTTACCCACATTTTGATTTTACTTCCATAGGACAATAAGTAAAATACTGATTACTAAGTAGAAATATCTTTGTCACTTGATAACACTTGGGTACCTTGCTATCCACAGAAGTTGTTCTAATTTAAATTCCCACTCTACAGACTTCATATATCCTTTTATATTTCATAGTATAAACAGTATCAAAGTAGTTTTTTATCCCTCGATTCTAAACTGGATTGAAAGAAGAAAACACTATAAAAATGAAGTGACTAGGTAAGCTTTATATTTTATTTTTATCTCATTAAGCAATCCAAGGTAATGTGATTCTTCTAGGTTGGATGCCAAAGGGAAGAAGAACATGCAAAAGTCTGCTCCAATACCTTGTGCAGCTCTCAAAACCGATATTGAGAACCTGTGGCAGAGGTTCTCAATAACAACAAAAGCTGGAGACCATTAGGGAAATCTGAATATGAGCCATATATTAAATAAGACTATTGTATCAGTGAAAAATGTCTCGGCTATGAAAATAGGATTTGATTACGTAGAAAATCCTCATTTTCAGAAGACACATGCTGCAGTATTTAGGGATGAAGTGTCATGATGTTTACAACTCAATTTCTTACTTTCAAGTGGTTCAACAGCAACAATAATAAATGTGTACATTTGTGTGGAGAGAGAGAGGCAGAGACAAAGCAAATGTGGCAAAATGCTAAAAAGCTGTTGATCTAGATAAAAAACAATGTGTTTTACTTTCATTATTTTTATTCTTATTTTAATGTGCTAAGAGCACTTAACATGCAATCACCTCCCTTGACAAAGTTTAAGTGTACAGTACAGTATTGTTAGTTGTAGGGACCATGTCTGTGATATAATAAGAAATATATATTTGGTCTCTGCCCCTGGTTCCCAGCACAGAGCTCCTGAAATGATTGTAGTTTCCCAAGCAGTAGTGGTGGTAGGTGCATATTTAGTTCTAATATTTGGTCTTTAACTCTGATTTCTGACACAGAGCTCCTAATCCTTTGGGATTTTCTGGGTGATAGGAGCATCTTTTGTTCTAATGAGGTGATTCTTGGTGGCTCCTGGATGGTGGAGTCGTCAAAAAGGCCAAGCCACGATTACAAGCTTGGAACCTTCAGTCCCACCCCCCAACCTCCAGGGAGGGGACAGGGGTTGGAAATTAAGTTAACAATTGATCATGCCTATGTGATGAAGTCTCCATAAAAATCCAAATTCTGGGTTGGTGAACACATCCTCATTCCGAGAGGCTGGTGCATCCCAACTCCACAGGAACAGAAGCTCCTACGTACCTGTTCATCTGGCTGTTCATCTGTATCCTTTATCATATCCTTTATAGTAAACTGGTAAAAGAGTTTCCCTGAGTTCTGTGAGCCATCATAGCAAATGACTGAGCCTGAGGAGGAGGCTGTAGAAACCCCTGATTTGTAGCCAGTCAGTCTGAAGCTGAGGCAACCCTTTGGACTGAGCCCTTACCTTGTAGCATCGAATGCTAACTCCAGGTAGGGAGTGTCAGAATTGGATTGTAGGATACCCAATTGGTGTCCAGAAAGTTGGAGAAAGGATTGTTGTGAGGAAAAACCCTATACAACTGGTCACAGAAGCGTTGAGTGTAAGTATAAAGGAAAACACTGTTTTTCCTGTCTCACAATGTATATAGCACATCTCTAGAACTTGCTCATCTTGAAACTTAATACTCCTTGATTAGCAACCCCCATGTCTCCCTGCCCCCATTCCCTGGCAACTACCATTTCACTCTCTGCTTGTGAATTTGACTATTTTATATACCTCATATAAGTGAAATCATGCAGTATTTGGTCTTCTGTGACTGGCTTATATCATTTAGCCTAATGTCCATAAAGTTCATCCATGTTGTTGCATATTGCAGAATTTTATACT